ATATATATATATATATATATATATGTATATATATACATATTGCCGTTTAAGATTTAGGTTTAGTTCTCTTGTTAGATTTGTTTATTTAACGCACTCGGCGTTTTTAATCATCTGTTTGACAAGGTTATCAAACAATTTCAACCTGATTTTGAACGGAAGCAGAATGAAGCCGCTGGGTCTCTCAAAACTGTCACATCTCTGCTGAATTAAGAAGAACGACTTTTGCAACAACAAAAACACATTTCCACAGAGACACATTAATACCCACTAGAATCTCCTCTGTTGCTCTCAGATGTGTCTTTAGAACAATGATATTCCAAAGTGAGATATGAACCAAAATTCATGACGTCCTTTTGATGTACACTTTTTTATTTTCTTGTTGGAATTTGATGAACCCACCCCTAAAACTCCCCCCCCCCCACGCATTTGATTTGGAGATATAAGTACCGTGTAGTTTTGATTCCACCTCTTTCAGCCGAAGAAACTAACATTCCCCATACTCTCTTATCTTTAAAAAAAAAATTCTACTTTTTATGGATTAAACGAGAGACGGGCAGACGCCAATTTTCTGGCTTCCCCAAAGTGAACATCTTTTTCCGTTTTATTGCCACGAGAATACCTTTAACCCCTATGACATATTTGTTTAAACTTTATATGTTAAAATTGTTGGTAATTTTTCAGGATACCGGGAGGAAGGGAAAGGGGGGGGGGACAGTTCGTGGGCTTAGTAATATTTCTCACTGGTGTTAAACATGGCTATGCCTCGTCCATGCCTTATAGAATACAAACAAGACTGAAATGTTTCATCTCTATCTTATACGAATAAAAGTATGATGATAGTAATTTAATGAACTGCATGATGATGGTAATTTAATGAACTGCATGTTTCTACTGTCCTCCTAAAGGTTCTTAATTTCCCTGTTTTTTGTATTCTTCTTTTCTTATTTCTTATATTATTTTATCAATCTCCGAAAATTTTTTGTCCGTTAAGATTTAAGACCTTATTTTTTCACAGTTAACAATACATGAATTCTTTCATATCCTGTAATCTTGGTTTTGTAAAACGCAAATTGCGGGAATAACAATGGAGATCATTAAATTTTAAAATTATTTTTTTTCATTTTTTGTTGTATTCTCATTCGTCCTATCTGCTGAGGAAGGCTTTTAGCCGAAACTTTATTTTGTCTTATTATCCTGTCTTTCGATTCAACCTTCCACGTATCTTGTTCTAATATTTCCTGCACAATTCTAATAGCCCCAACATTTGTATCTTCTTTAATTTCATTATCTTGTGTACTATTCTAGTCTTGTTCAACCAGGAATATTCAAATATTACAAGACGGTACATCAAAACATTTTTTATTTTATTTTCATGCATAAATAATTACTATTGTAATATCTATAAAAATGTAGTCCTTAACTAAAACACTGCAACATGTAATTCCAAGGAATTGAATATAGGTGTTTCAAACATAAAATATGTGGATTAATTGTCCTCCGGTATAAACATAAAGTTTTTTAAAAAAACGTGTTATAGAAGGTTTCGGTGAATGACCGTCGTGGATTCAATATTTGTCCATGCCAGAATCTTGCAGACAACCACTCAAACAACGTGGGGCTGGATTTAGACAATTCTTTTTTTTTTTTTTTTTTTCCACCCAAATTGGCGATGCAATTATTTCAAAGTTGAATAAGAGGAAACTTCCATCTCATTGGCTTTGAAAATGTTAGAAATGTATTGCGGTTTCATGGACACCATTAGTCCATGCCAGAATCTTGCAGACAACCACTCAAACAACGTGGGGCTGGATTTAGACAATTCTTTTTTTTTTTTTTTTTCTCCACCAAAATTGGCGATGCAATAATCTCAAAGTTGAATAAGAGGAAACTTCCATCTCATTGGCTATGAAAATGTTAGAAATGTATTGCGGTTTCATGGACACCATTATCAGCATTCGTTAATACTAACACAGCGTGGTACGGTAGCAACTACTCAAAATTATTACACTTTAATTGAATTTTTTTAGAAAGCTTTTTCTTTTTCCTTTTCATTAAATGTGACCTATGGATTTCAGAAGGATGTTAGCACGCTAAAAGGGTGCACGCGGTGAAGGGGAGATAATTCATTTTTTTTTTCCATGCACTTAAACGTATATTAAAATTGAATAACTTAATATTAGAAAACATAATTTTTTAATGCATTTATGTTTTATTCTATATTGTTGTTCATGTTCATGTCAAGTTAAAAAATAATGTTTTATTGTTATTTGTTATTATTTTTAAATTATTGACAATTAATTAAATTTTAAATTGGAACCTCTCAATTTTTTTTAAAAATTGGGCTAATAGTATCAGTAGTAATTATAAAAAGACAAGTGTTGTTAAAAAATAAGTATATATTATTTTTAGAGTATAATTATATAGGATAGATATTTATGGAAAAAAAAATAGCCTAGCGATGTCATTGACAATAAGGAATCAAATAATGTTCCATTTCATTTGATTTTTGGCTGATGACCTTGATAAATTAAAAAAAAAATATTGCTGCCATTAATGTTAATGATTTAAATAATAATATCCATCAAGTTGCATCAACGTTAATTAAATGAAACATGTATGTCATAAATGTTGATCAGTGTAGTGGACCCACTGATAGCTAACATTATCTTCTATGTCATTACTTTAAAATCTGATACACCGCCCCTTTCTCCTACCTCCTGACTCCAGCCTCCACGCAGAATATAGTAATTAAATTATTTTAAGATTAGATTATGTGTTTTCTATTTGTATGTGTTCAATTTTTTCAGGATTCTGAGCTACAGCATTTGTGCAAAAACTGATGATGTCAGAGATATTTTTAAAAACTTTTAAGTCAGCTTCCGCATAAACAGATATTGCAAACAAAATTGTTTATTTTCATTTATTTTTTTTAATTGAATTATTTTTTCAAAAATGTATGTTTCTTACTGTACCTGTAATTTTCGATGTTTTTGAAAACATTTTCGGAGATACAAACTAAAAAAAAATTTTTTTTAATTTTTTTTTTTTTTTTTTTTTTTTTCTTTCATCCGACCAATTTTTTTTAATTTTTTTTTTTTTTTTTTTCTTTGCTCTCATCCGACCGTCACAGTGTGACGAGGACGGATTATGCAGCTTGGCACCAGTTGCGTCGCAGGAGTTGACGGAATGTTTCATTGTACCAATGTTATCCGTCTACGGGATTCCATCTCCTGGATTGAATTCAGAGTATCCTTCTCTAAAATGAGTTCTTGTCCATAACGAGTCCCATCCACTTGGGGGGCTAGGGATGTTTTTGCTTGTTGAAGATTGAACTCAACACCAGCAACACTGAGATTTGATCAGTTTTGACCATTCGGCCAAGTAGAACCCTATAAAACTATAGGTTTCAGCAATAAATATCACTATCTGTTTTAGGGTTTAAAAAAAAAAAAAATTAACACACAACTAAATGAAAGCAGTGAATAAATTATAGGCATAGATGCGGATATATCAAGACATTTAAGGGCGTCATGTTTGAGAAGATATCAGAGTGTTCCTTCAAAAAAAAAACACAATCAGAGAAACAAGTGCAGCGCATCAAATAGTACTGTTTGGATGTGACAAGGCTTTCTCTGTTGCTTACCTTGAACTGCATGATGATATAATTGTCAACTCCTATAGTCTTCTTGGATTGATTACATTCGTCAAGTTCTTCTCACACGTTGAAGCGTCGTACTATTCTCACTATCATCGAACAAACTCAAATCGTTTTCATAATAACTATAACTTTAATGTATATGTAAAAATAATACACATAACATGTGAATATAGCGCAGCTCGCTATCAGACCTAAATAATACACATCCTATCACTCCAAGGTTCCACTCAAGACTGCCGCACGACTAAAACATACGTCACAATATTGTATAGACAATACGTCACGAATCAGCATAAAAATACGTCATTAGAGACAATGGCGGGAAGAGCGTTCACTAACCATAAGCGTCAGGCGCGGGAAAACCGTTCAACAACTAATGAACATAATATTGAGTCACAACACTTAATAATGAACGCTCATACTCGACATATCCCCCCTCTTTCATTTCTGATTTAACTAAGGGAGTTAAATCGTCACCAGACACACACAATTTACATGAATTACATCAAGAAGAGACCTTCAGTCATATGAATGGTCCTTATCAAAAAACATTATTTAGGTAACACTGAAAATAAACAGATTTATGATATACTGCAATAAAATAAACAATCCTTTGTACATAATTTTAAATGCAATTCAAGAGTTAAAAATTCATGTACGACAATAAAAATCAGATCATTGAAATTGAATGTCAACATTAATTTTCATTTTTCATACCAATAAAAATAATTATATTTTTATCTAAAAAATCAGGGCAAATACGTCAATATCCTTACTGAATTTGAAACTGTAACTAAGATAATACAAGACATATAATCAAGAAGGTGTATTTTTATACAAAACCAATGGCCATCACTATAAAAACACAAAACTATCTAACATTATTACAGGTGAGAAATGTCTCACCACAATTTAAGCAGCCTTTATTTGCTCTTAAATAACACAGTTACAGATGGCGGGACATATCTTTTGTCCGTGGATTTCACAACTTTATGCTTCAACATGTTTATTATAATTAGAATTATCTCTCCCTGTTCTTTTGACCCGTGGTCATAACTCATGTGAAACCTCAGTTTTACAATACATATTTTTAAATTGTTACTGGACCTGATAACTCACCTCCTCTTGAAAATCATAAACAAGAGCACCTTTAGAGCTGGCAGCGCTCTCTTTAACACTTTCAACATTGGTTTCCCACTTAATGTTAGAGCACT